AGCACAAATGTGAGGCCTCTGGTGTTTTCACTTGTCTCAGCTGACAGTCATCCAGAAAATAAAGACCTCTGTTCTCCACCTGTGTAGGATATTCAATTCAACTTACAGCCTGTGGATGGTTAGGGGCCAGATCTTTCCTAGTGGAGCCTCTGAATGGCAACATAGGCAGCTTGCCCTTGGACCACAGCCTTGTGAGATCTGCCTGGTGAACCAGTCACCCCACACCCGGAGTTCTGTTAGAACTGCAAACAAATAAATTTCTACTGTTTTGAGGAGTTAGGCTTGTTACACACCTGTACAAAGTTCTATGCCAGTTAATATAGGGACACTCTGGTTACTGGCCACTAGCTGGCAACTTTCTCTTGTATGGTTATTTGGAGACTTGGCTCTCTAAGTCTGCATGCCCACCATACCCTCTTGAGAAATCCCCCAGTGGATGCAACAGATATTCCTGACATATGCTGTTGTTGGTAGGATTGAGTTATAGGGTCATACCTGAGTCCTGAGATAGTTTCTTACAGCATAGTCATACCACAAAAGCAGGTAGATAATTTCTCTGTCATGATTTCATAATTTAATATCAGGATATTCACTATCAATACCAACAGGGATCTAGAATAATATTTATGTTAGGAAATGGACTCTGATTCGTTATCTAATTCACTTCCAAATACATTGCCAGGTTGGACCATATTCTTGGTGAAGGATATATGCTCTTTCAAGGGTATCTCCAAGACGATCCCCAACTTTTCCCTTCCATCCATCCCATCTGTATCTATCTAGAGAAGCTTGCTCTGTTCTTACCTACCAATACAGAAATGGACCTATGTGAGCTCTGGAAAATGCAGCTAGAGACACAGATTCTAGATATCATGACCTTCTCCTGAGCTGGCCCTGGATCTCCAGCAGACCGCATTGCCACAGGCTTAGTTACTTAATCGTCAGTTAAACTGCAGCAGTCTTCCCCCATGGGACAGAGGCATCCATGTTTGTATAATAAGATTCACAAGCTTCAGCAGTTTTCCTCTGTGGATAGGAGCTTGAATATATGCTGTATTCCCCTACTGCAGCCGTATACTGGAGCTCCTGAAAGCTTTGAACGTTAGCAGAGTGGTCTGCAGGGAGCTGATGAGAGAGTCAGGGTTAGTCACTGCCTGCTAGCATATGGTTATCATATCAAACACATACCTGTATTTAGCATTTCAAAGTTAACACACATGAACCTTGAACTTCTAGGATTGACAGGGTTTTATAAAAGACAGGAGGACAATTTGTTTTATATGAACTTAGGGGATATGCAAGATGTCTCTCACAGTGTGGGTATGCTTCTGGTTGCACCCATCGCCTGACCCACCTTGATTTATTTGCTGTCGTAAACTTCTAGACACAAACTGGAAGGGCTTTAACTGTATAGCTATGTGAACATTTTTGTGTTTTGGAAAAATTCTTAGAGAGGCACATTGAAGACAACTAGTAGGAAAAAAATGTGAATAAGATCAAAAATGAATTCCTGAAAAAGGCCATTAACTCTCAGGAGGCATGCCATGGTGAGGAACTAGAACATACTGCCACTACAGCCGTGCCTCCTTACATTCCCAGAACTGTGCTATCAGTGACACACCCCTGCCTCTCCAGCATCATCATTTCTCTGTGGTTCTCAGTTCCTCTGCCTTCTGTCTGTTTCCTTCTTCCTGTAATCCTTTCTGCTCATTTACTTCACACCCTTAGCTCTGCTCTCACTTCTTTCCTCCCTTTTCTAGCTCCAAACTGCTCCAAGGGCTGCAAAGGATACAATACAATGACTTACACTAATCTCATTAAAAAAGACACCATCAAGACAGAAAAACGGGGGCTCAGAGCTCTTAGAAGGCCTTGGGCTAACTCAAGTGTTCGCCTCAATAGCCATCCCTGGTGTTCTGTTGCCTGAAAGAAGTATATAGAGAAAATGTCAATTATATAACATCGTGGTTTATAGATTTTTTTTGGCCCAACCTACTTCTCCACATCTATTTAACTCAAGTCACTTCCTTACAAGTTCCCAGAAGCATCCTCGGAAGCAAACTCTTTGTAAAGGCAGTTGGACTTTAACAGCCATGTGGTACACACTTATTACCTTACACCCTTTATGCTTCATTGTACTCTTCCTTGCTGAAGATTCCTACCTATCTTTCAAGACCCTGAGCACCTCTTCTCTGCAGCCCACCCTGGTAGCCACAGGCAGAGAAGTTAGTCTCATGTCTAAATGTCAAGAGCAAATGCTCACATTTTTAATGTAGCACTTACTATATTGTACTTGGATGGTTTATATTTGTCACAACCACTAAACACTGAAGTCCCCAAAAGAAGACTGGGCCCCTATTCACTGGCAAACCACTGTTCTCCACACAGCAGTGCTAATATGCAGTAGGCTATATTGATGTAGGGAAAGCTGTACATGACGTCAACTGTATTGACTCAAATGTTTTAAAATTATACAAACCTGTACTTAACCTTTTATTATTCAAAATACATATAAACTTCCTTTTCTCTGTCTTCTTCCCTTTCTCTTTCCCCTCCAAATATAAAAACATATATACACAGAATATTAGCAAAGTAGCCCATGATACCTTTTACTTTTTATGTACATGGTATATAGAATTTTCTTTCTTCTCTCGCTTATTCATATTTATAAGGAATAATAAAAATTACGTGAATATAGGAGTTTAATAGGCCATGCTGAAATCGTTAATATTATTCTAAATTTGTCGCTCTCCATATGCACATACATGTAACCTAAATCAACTATTTCATGCAATCCCACTCACGATGAGCCTCATCAGTATCCCTCATTTTTTATTTTATTTTTCAATACAAGTGTATCCCTTTTGAAAATGTTTTTGGTGGTCAGTATTTTGAAAAAGAATGCAAAGAACATGTATGTATGTATGTGTATATGGGTTGCAGGTATGTGAATGCCGATATATGTATATGTATATGTATATGTATATGTATATGTATATGTATATGTATATGTATATATATATATTATATAGTAATTACTGAGATACACACACACACACTTATAAACCATGTAGGTTGCTTGTATACTACCAGATAATTAGGTGACTTGACTACTGGCCATTAGAAGAACAACTAAGAAGGCATACTGTACCCTCTTGAGAACTCCGCGACCCCACCCCGTGGCTGCAACAGCTATTCTTGGCATACGCTATGTTGCCGGGGTTGAATTATGGGGTCACACCTGAGTGAAAGTAGTCCCAATACACTTCCTTACAAGATATTCATATTACGGACATTTTACATGTATTAAACCACATTACATATTACAGAAATCAGACATATTACAGATTATATATGTATATATGTGTATTTACATATGTATGTATATATATATACATACATATATATGTATATATATACACATACATAATCTGTTATGAGGAGAAAAACAGAGGTTATGCTTATTGACAATTTTATATAAGAAATATATGTGTGTGTGTGTATATGTATGTATGTGTGTTCTTGCCATGTTCTCAAACAGTGCAATATTTACACAGTTTCCCATCTTCTTAGGGTGGCTTATGGCTCACAGATAGTGAGACTGGATATTGAACTGAATAGTAACAATTGTACAGTCACCAAGCCACCAAACTCTTAGCAAGAGAGTCTTCCACCGTATATTCTGAGCAGAGTATGTTCTATTAACTGCTTTGCCCACTCTTTTGGAATATTATTTTGTGCACTGGTAAATAATTTGCTGCTACAATGACTAACAAATTGTACAAGAGCTAGAACTGGATCTGTCATAAGAGATAAAGAGCCTCAAGCTGGGAATCAAAAGGCATGCTTTGCCATAGCTCATGACTTTATCAGAGATGGAAATTGTTAAAGACCTGCAGGCCATAGAAACTGGATGAAGCCCTTTGACACTGCTAGGGATAGTGTAACCATCCCATCCTCTGGGACCATTGCCCTGTTATACACAGGTGTATCAGAACCCCCAGGACTCATAGGGCTGTGCTTCTAAAGAGGTTGTGTTAGAATGGCCTCATGGAAGGTTTTCCATAGCATACTTCCGGTCTGTTCATTTATCCCATCCCTCCCAGCCAACACTTGCTCTCCAATTAAGCAAGGCAGAGTTTGATATTTCTCTGTATCCATTTAACTATTCTATATCATCTTTATTTCAAAGAATGTTATGCCAATCTTATTTGGTCTTGCTTTCTATTCTCTTATGTGAGAAAGATAATTCACCCCCCCCTCCCACCATTTCATTTGGAATTTTTTGTTTGTAGCAGGACTAGGCTCAGCAGCTACATATTAAATCCAGAAAAACCCAGTAACAAGGTTGAGCACAAATAGTTTGAAAATGCTCCCATGATTCTAGTGGGAAACAAGGGTAGATAATCACCAACCAGTAAAATGTACATATCTAGTTACTCAAAGGGTTCATGTTCATGCAGAATGTTCATGTGACAAGCTGTTCCTGGTGACTCATTTTTGGCCCTTTTACCACCAAGTGCAACTTACTTTTCAAATTAATTTAGATGTCACCATCCTATCACAGTGCCCAGTTTTCACAGTAACAGAATCTCCTATAAGGAGGTTGAGTATTAGGTCTCATTCAGGGAGTAGTTCTCTAGCATGCATAGAATTACTTTCTCTACACCAATTCTGTCATTCCCTTGGAATACTGAATATAAGTTGTGTTTGAGGAGATAAAAGGTGACTCACTTAAGTCCCAGATGTCTGCTTATGACAAGGAGATGGGCAAGGATCAAGCAGCTCTGCCTACTGGGAAAGTCAAGAAGCTTTAGAATTGTAAAAAGACAGCTTTATCGCGCTGCAGTGGATACCAAGGGCAGTCCTTTCCATTGATGATTAACTCAAACGGTTGAATTGATATCAGGTGAAGAAAGCAGAAGGCCAGAACTTGTGTGAAACTTCGTTCCAACTTTCTATCCGGAAGTCACATAGGACATGTTTGTTTTTCTCCATAGATTCGAACCAGTGTCCTTCCGGAACACAAGGATCCCCCGCCAGAAGTTGCGGTAGGTGCTTCCTATATTTCCGAAGGTACACAGGTCATTTGTAAGTTAATGTTTTGCACTTTCTCCGACTTCCTGCTTGCCTGCTAGCTGGAAAAAAAAAGCAATTAAGTTAGAAAAGTGTGACTATTTGAGGAGTCACCGGTCTTTTGTTGCTGCGTCGAATAGAATTCATCTTTTATCTTCCGTAATAATCCATTCTCAAAAGAGTTTTGTATTTACTTTAGATGGTGAGAGATGAGTAGGGACATTGTCCTGCAGGTAGCTGAATTGCAACTGTAAGTAGACACTTCTGAACTCCTAGAGGCTAGGGAAGTTACACATGTGGGCTGTAGGATCATAGGAAAACAGCAGAGAATTAGTCAGGGCAGGGTGTTGCTTCTTCCTGCTTCCTGTCATTAAAATGCTAGGACACAGATCAAGCAGCAGGCTACTTTTTGTAAGGCTGAACACCCACTGAGGTTTGTCTGACATGCGCAAAGCATTGCATCTTCAGCAGAAGTTGAAAGAGCAAGAGAGAGAGTACAAGGGGTACTGGTGTTTTCTGCTTAGACAAAGCCTGAGTTGGAGATGGCAGAATTTGAAGAGACAGCCCTGCAAGTAGAATCCCTGAGGCTTCTTCCCTCAGAGAGGAGTAGAATGAGTGTAGCTGAAGCAACTGAAGGCCTATTTAGAAATCTTTCAGGAACCTGACAACCTTCTTCCACTGAGTATGAGGCGCACAGGGCTACGTGTTATTCATTTCTTCTCATTGAAAGCAGCCACTTGGCGGTGTACCAAGGGACTATTTCAAAAGCACACACCACAGTGAAAGCTGGCTGAGCAGAATGCCAGTTCTCAGAAGGAATGCTACTGAAGAGGGAGAAGGGAGAGCAGGGTGGGGCATTCTTTTCTTTTATTTCTCCCAGTAACTTTTTGGAGGTGGCACGATGAAAGACTTTCACAGACGAATGCAATCTTCGCTATTGGCTTTCGGCTTCTACCTTGAAACCATCACAGATTTACTAGTCTAGTGTTGGTGGATTCTCAGATGACATGAGCAGTCTGTGCTTTAGTTTACAATGTTCCCAGAAAGTTCTTCCCAATCAAGGTAGATCCACAACCAGGACCATTGCTGAATCTGGGTACTACTTTGTGCTTACTCATTTCCAACCTGGTTTACAATCACCATTCAACCACCAATCACCCTATCCTACAAAGGAGGCTTAAGAGACATGTTCCTGTCATGCCTTTTAGAAATCCTTCATAAAACCCCAAATCCATTAATATAACCAATGCCATGTTTATTTAGGAGTTTCATTTATTACTGAGGTTCAAGGACTGAGTTGGTTTAATTTTCTATTCTAATTCCCAAGTTGCTCTTATCTTCAATTGCCCACTAGCTTTAGATATAATATCTTGACTTAAATGTGTGAGCTTTTATTTATGTTTTTCTATCAAATTGTTGGGGAGAGGGAGATGTTTTATTTATTTTAAATACTAAGTCTCTGATTTTATTCTCTTCTACCTTTTCCTTTGCTAGTAATGTCTCTAATTCCAGGCACTGCAAAAAGTTTCACGTTTGTCCCCTTTTTACAGCTCAGGCTGTGACATAGAAGAATAGGGGACAGGGGCTACTCTTTTGCCAAGGTGAGGACATGGCCCTATTTGCTGTTTTTGACACCTGTCAGAGTCCTTAGTGAGGGTAATATAGAAATGCCAGCTGTCGCATGGAATTGATTCAAAGGACCCACACTTCCCTACCATGGTAGATATGACTCAGGGTCAGCCACTTCACTCTCCTGCCCCACTCTTATCCTGCACTCTTATTGCTGAAGTTCACTCTAAGCATGTGACTGCAGATGAGCCCCATTCTGTGTTACTCCTTGACCCACGTGACTCTCCTGTAACACCTCACATCAAAGTCCCACATGTACCTTCTCTGGTGTGTCCTATCTTAGCTCAGCCTTCTTTCGACTACCCAGTGACACTCAACATTAGATTGCCCCACAATTCCCAAAGGAGAGCATCCTGGAGGAAGGTGGTTTTGATGCCTCTGGTCTTTACAATTGATCCATTTGTTTAGGACAAAACTCATCCAGTCTTGGGCTTAAACGTATTTTCTTGGAAAACAGCTAAGGAATAGCCCCATCTCCTAGGTCTGAAACTCTAGCCTTTCCTATTAGAAGCTTAGATTTTTGCTAATGGAATGTCTTGGGTTGGATGTTTGGACAGTTCTATTAAACTCTCTTCCCTTTCAGCATTTTCCTGTGAGTCCTGGTTCATGAGGGAGGCTCTCTGAACTTGAGATGGGTTGTATTTGATATTGTTTTTATATTGCATTTGATATTCTTTGATAAATACTCAGCTAAAGTTCCTGGTTCCAAGTAAAAGTCTTAGTTGGGATTCTGTAACATGGCTGTTGCCCCAGTCAGGAAGCCACTCATTGAGTAAATTAACAAACCAACCTAAAGTAATTGGTTAGGTTTTAATTTAATTTAATTTAATTTAATTTAATTTATTTTTGACAGCTTGTATTTTCTTTACATAGCAGTCCTATTACACATGGCCCAAGAACATTCAAATAAGAACACAAATCAGAAGTTAAAGATTGGTCTTCAAACATCATAGCCAACAATGCCATGCTTGCCTATGATCTTTCCGATATAAAACCAAATCCATACCTCAGTGGCAACCAAACCATTCAGCACAGCTTCCTTAACTGTAAGGTATTTGAAGCTACCAGTTTAAGCACTTTGAATTATTTTTTTCATGCTCTGAATAGCTGTAGGGATTTCACCAGGGGTTGGGGGAACCAGCTGAACCTTGTCATAGTCCCAAAATGTGGCCAATCGAGGCTTGGAGTAAGTCAGGGCAGTGACCACCAGAGAAGGTGCCTTCTCCGCGAAGTTGCAGATGGACCTGGCCATGATCTAAGGTGGAAGATGCGTCTCCCCAAATCACAAGCTGAATGTTTTATTTCATTTTTACCTAGAAAATGGTTCCCAGTACTGTAAGCACACAAAAAAATGACTTTGAACACCAGACTGTCCGTTTCTCTGCTTCTTTTCATAGGGTATTCTGTAATCTGACCACATCGGTTATCATATTTCTCATCTTCCTGCTTGGAAGAGTAAGATGCTAAATTTTAGGTCATGATGCTTTTTCAGTTTTAGAAAACACAAACCACCTATGAGTCCTGCTCACTATTCTGCATTTTATGAGTCACTGAGAAGAACTGAGTCTTCAAAGGAGATTCCAGGAAATATACCTCCTTAAACAACAACAACAACAACAACAAACACCAAAAAATCCACTACTAGTAATGAAAATGTGGATATTAGGTTTCTGTAATTTTTTCACACTCCTAGAAACCGGATTCATCGCAAAACAAGATTTCTTGATTTTGTTCAGTCCAATATTTATAGTTTTAAACCTAGATTCTTTATTAAAATAATCAAAGAGGATTCCATTTTAGTCTACATTGCTTTTAGAACCATAAGAGAACAAATTATAGACAAAATAGAGAAGAGTCTAGAAATGACCATAATAATGTAGAAAATTTAATGCGTTTTATGATATTAGCCCTCAAGAAAAGTGCCAAGTGTGACTGCTGAACCAATCTGACACACAGAAAGAATGGGCTTGAATAAGGAGGAGGCAACATAGCTTGAATTCCTAGCAGACTGAGTCATGTTACTCTATACAGTGAAAATTTACCATGTTTAATACATTTCCTGCCAATCTTCAGGATATTTCTTTGAATGCCACAAAATGGTCTAAGCGTTTAAGTTATTGGTCAAGAACACAGTGCCCATAGTGACTCTGTCCTTACAATGTACTAAGAACACTTATTCCACCATGAGCTAATACATTTTACTGTAATTCCTGCAACTGTGTTCCATTTGTTTCTGAGCACACTTAGGTAACATTTACTAGATGTATCCAAGCACTTTCCTGATGGCTTAGACAAATAGATAGCAATTTGTGTCATTAGACCTTCTGAACTGTATTCATAACAAACATGCAATTTGTTAGTAAATGACTTATCCTAAAGCACTCTTTTGTTTGGAGGTTATTCATAAACTTTTTAATAGTTAGCATGCATTATTTTATTTATGATACTGTTTCCAGTATTAGAAGTTCTTATTATGGAATGGGACATCATGCAACCATATTTGTTATGGTTGACAGTAAAGACAAAATGCACAGGCTGTATAAAATTGTCTTATTCTATAATTATGTATCTCTATACACACACACACACATACAATTTGTATATATCATATATGTACACATACGTGTGTATACATCATACCAATTATATATCAACTTCAGCTCTTCAAAGGCCTTTAAAATTTATACCAACAATTCTTCATATGATGTTGTAAAAATAGGTCAAAGTATCATTTATGATCTCATTTAATCTTCAATGTATCAGTGTCCAGACAAAATGAAATGAGTAACATTCAAGATTTGCCACTTAGGTCATTTAAAAATGTCCAATAATCATATTTTTAAACAGTTCAAAGAAGCAGACAACATTAATTATGTTAACATTAATTATGTTTTCTTTAACTCACTATGATAAGTAATATAAATGTTGTCTAGTTGAGTGGCAGACAATACAATGAATCAGAGAAAGATTTGACAAAATATTTCCAACTCTCAGTAGAAGAGAGAAGAAAGGGAAGCTACTTAAGTGAAAGACAGACAGTAGAGGAAGAGAGTACAGTACAGGAATACAGTAGAGTTTGTGAAGATGGTACAGTACACTTGAGCGGGAGAGTAGAGCAGACCAGAAGAGAATGAGCCAGTTTTACTGAGAGAGTTTTACAGAGGCAGAATGAAGAGAGAACAAGCTAGACACAGGTAAAGACAGAATGAGCAAGAGAATGAGAAGGAGCCAGAAGATTAGTACAGATTGCCAAAGTTAGTTTTGAGTGAAAGTGGAGCAATTCAGATGCTGAAAGAAAAGACAGATCAAATCAGTAAGCTTGGAGAAAAGTTTGGGTCAGAACAGTTAAGTTGAACCAGCCAGCCAGAGTTCAGAAAGAACAAGAAATAGTGAGCTTATTCAGCAGCAAGTCTCAAAGGCCTAGAGTAGATTGTACCAGGGCTAGAAGCTTGCAGGACTAGGTCTAGGTTAGCAGATGGCAGCAATAAGCCTCCAAGACAACAGTTACAAAGACTAATGAAAGGTACTTTTACATTCTAACCTGGTAAAATATGGCTTCCTGCATGCTATTTGTTGTGGCTGTCTGCAAGACAGCTCATGCTTATGGACTTCTTTAGCTCTTCCTCCTAATTACCCGCAGTTTTTAAATCAGTTGGAACTTCTTGTAAATATTTTACATGTCCTAAAATAAATCTGAGCAAATTGGAATCATAGGAAATATTTTCTAAACACTAGTAATTGCATAAGACTTTGTAGCCTTTATATCTTCTATTATTTTTAAATCTTAGCAGAACAACAGTAAGAGCTAGAGGACCACCAAGTCTGTTTGTGGCTGCATCTTTATAATGTTCCATGGAGAAGACTTGAACAATGACACATCAGCAATCTTGCTAATATGAAGTCTCACAGGCAATCACCCCTAGACAGAGAACTACAGACTACTGACTGTTGCCTGCTAGAGAATTAGCTTTTTCCAGGGATGAGCTTCCTAATTCGTGGTCAGCCCTCAAACCAAATACACAGAAATAACAAAACTAAAAAAATAAACTCAGCCTGCGTGTGTGCGCACACACACACACACACACACACATGCACACACGCACACATACATACACACACACACAAGTATGTACTATATTCATATACTTGCCCATATATTAAATATAATACATACTAATATGGAAATTGTAACTTTATGGCTAAAAGGACTTCCATAATGTCATGGCATATATAGTTTTCTTTATTCTAAAGCCACCCAGATTTACACAATTTCAAAATGTAAGTTAAACAAGCTTAGAAAGTTAGTGGCCTTGTGAAATTTATAATCTGTTTTATATATATTCTCTTGTTTGGTGTCATGACAGATCATAAATATTATACATATATAAATATATAGAGAAAAATATAGCCCTGTGTCACTATGATTTTACATTAGCATTATGTGTTGTTTTTCCCCTCTCTGTGGGTATTAATATATGTGTATGTATATAGATAAATACATACATGCATTTATACATACACATGGGCAATGATAAATAAAAAGAAGCTATCAGTTTTAGTTTTGAATAAAATAAACTTTTGTAAGTAAAAACCTTCTGTTTTCTTTTGGCAGGCATACAATCAGGCCGTGACCAATACTAAGATTCAGTGTGTCATATTTTGGAAACTCTGACAGTGTCCCCTGAGATCAAGCCTGGCCTGACAGTTGTGGTGGGACTTCTTGTCTCAGGGTTATTGTCTCTGGCACACTGTGTATTCATAATACAAGGCACATGCCCTCTGTTGCTGTCATGGGGCTGTCTCTGTTACTGATCAGCCAAAGGTCTGCTTGTGAAGGGCTCTGGTTCAGCAGAAAGAGACAGTCAGTGGTTGTGGTCACCAAGCTTGCTTGCACCTCTGCCTTATGGTGTGTCCATAGCTCATGCCTAAAAATAGCCATTCCACCTGTCCGTCCATCTGTCTGGCTGCAGAACTCCAGTCTGGGAAGATTGCTACCTTATGATTAAAAAGACCATCATGTTATTAGGTTTGATTTATTCTACATTCCTCCAGTTCTACATGACTTCAATGCGTACACTGAACAAGCTTAGAAAGTTAGGAGACTTGTGTAATTTATGATCTGTTAGGAATTCTGTTGTAAAGTGAAAAGATGAATGGAATGGAATATAAGAATTTAAGTCAAAGCCACTGATTATCAGTGAAAGATAAAATGAAAAATACAATATAATTAATAGATGTACACATAATAAATATAATTATAAAATATTTATAATATATAAACATATATTATCACATGTCATATATTTTGTGTACAATTTCAACACACACATACACACACATATTTAAGTTATGGTCTAGAGAGATGGGTCAGTAGGTAAGAGAACCTGCTATTCTTTCAGGTTTAGTTTTACTTCTATATGGCAGCTCACAACTGTTTGTAACTTCAACTCCAAGGATTCCCACAACTCTGGTTTCTGTGGGTACCTGCACTCATATGCATATACCATTCCCCAAAGCACACATATATATAATTTTAAAAACTTAACAAAATGTATATTTACTAAGATTTAAATTGCAAATTAGTGGAATGACATTTTGCTGTATTATCTGCACAGGATGGCCTTCATTTATTCTCTTGTTTGTGAGTCACATTGATCTATAAATAATTGGAAAATGAGCCTGTCTCCTTCATGTATTAAAATAACTTCATTCATCTGGGTGTGGTTGTTGGTACATGACAGTTCTTAGGAGGCTGAGACATGAAAATAATTGTGTGTTCAAAGCGATCCTGTGCTATGCAGTGAGTTCTAGGCGATTCATGGAGATGTTGTCTTAAAAACAAATAAATGAGTCACTAACGTGAAAGTGGGGTCCATCAGTGTCAGCTAACATTTCATTCCTGTGTCTAGTGGATATTCCGTAGGGAGAGTATAAGAGAAAATAAGTGGCTGTCGAACTTCAAATCTCAATTATTTGTGGAAGTTTAAGATAAATATATTAGCTAGTGTTCAATAGAAATGGAGGAAAAAGTAGGCGATGAATAGAGAGTCACAGAGAGTATCTGAGAGTGCCTTCTGTCAGTGCCTGATCCTGGGGCTGTCTGTGGCGGGGAGCTGGTGCCTCCTTGGGCTTGCTGAATCCTTTGGCCTCTGCCCTTGTTAACAGTCACTCAGGCTCTATGTTGATAAAGCCCCTGTGTTGGTTTCAGCTTCGGTTCCCTCTTATTTTCTTGCTCCTTACACACTTTGGTTTCACTCAGTATTTTTCCATCTAACAGTATGAGCTCAGAATTTCCAGCCTTGGTGACTGGGTGCATATAATGCGGTAATCTAATTGCAGTGTGATGTAGTGGGAGTGAGGAGTACCTGGCTGGCCCATGCTGAGGTGTCTCCCAGAGGAATCATGCGACAGACCTAGTATAAAGATTTATTGTAAGGGAAAAGAGTGGGAACCTGGAAATGGGTAGAGACAGAGAAAGAGGGTGAGGACAGAAAGAGAGGAATAGAGGCTGCCTGGGAATATAGGGCAGCAAAGAAAGAGGGAGGAGGAAGGGAGGGAGGGAGAGAGGGAGGAAGGGAGGAAGGGGAAGAGGGAGGGGGAGGAGGAGAGGGAGAGAGCACAGGGGGAGAAGAGAGGGAGAGGACGGAGAGGAGGGTGGAGGGGGTTGGGGTATCAAGCAGTCCTCCTTATATGCTGCCACTGCTGTACCTGGCTGGTACCTGGTGGGGGACAGGCAGAGATGATGATTCAAGCTGTTGCTAGGTAGCTGTTGGGCACAGCATGGGAGAATTGTCTGTAAGCCAACAGTACATATACAGGTGGTTTGAACTTTAGGTTTTCTACTTGGGGCTAACATTAATAGAGTTGTCTACAATTTCAAAACCAAGTTGTGTTTTCAGATGTCTGTCTTATGCCTTTTTGTACCTCTCCATCTAAGGTAGTGTTTTGAAAAGAGGTTTACATTTTTTTTAAACTTGGGGCTTGAAAGATGAATGAGGACTCTGCACAGGACCTGGTTTTGGTTCCCAGCACCCACAGGGCAGCTCACATCTATAACTCTTCTTCCAGAGAATCTGATTCCATCTCCTGGCCTCCTTGCTCACCCAAATGACACAAAAGCATGCACACAGTCCACACACCTACATGTTATAAAAGAAAAAGTATAACCTGGATTTCAATTTTTCAGCAATCAGTATAAACACATACACACACATGCACACGCACACATACACACACATACACAAACACGACCTCTCTTTATATGTGGAATGATTTTTTTTATTTTCTTATGAAAACATCCAACTGGTCTCAGGCTCTTTACCAAGCTTCTCCTTCAAACATAGTCTGGATCAGAGTTGTGCCAAGAGGGAGTTTCAGAGAAGCACTGTGGGCTGTGGTGGGACATCACAGGCTGCCTGTTATCAATGGCCTAGGTGATGGTAGGGCTTGATAATTTTATGTTTAGCCATTGCCCTCAAGAAAAGTGAGGAATACACCTTATGGTATTTATGCCATAATGTCACATTCGAATCAGAAGCAGCCAGGAGCAGTGAAATAGATTTAACCCTGAGACTGAAAGGAGCAGTTTGCCATTTTACGTTTTATACTGAATCGAAGAGCAGATGCCCAATATTGAGTGGTAAACATGGCACCTGGTTGTGAAATGTTTAAAAACTAATTTTAGAAAATATAACAGAAGTGTTGTTATTTGTGTGGGCAGGTTGAAATTGTCCCATGCTGGTAAACAACAACAACAAACAGAAGCAAACCCTTCTAAATGCTTCTGTGATGGAGAGAAATATTGTCTTTCTATTTATAGGTCCCTCTGAGCCCCGTGTAAAAATAGCTCCAAGAGGCAGATTTTCTCATGTCCTGACACAGAGTTGCTGTTGCCAGTGATTTGAGGAACATCCTGCTCAATACTGAATGTTTAGCACCCTCTTTGACACCAGTTTTCTTCTGGGGAAGATTAGAGTTAGCGGGAAAGTCCTGACTGCTGGGTCTTACTTCTTGTTACCTCCCAGGCTATCAATATCGGAGCTGATATTTCAGTATTGTCTTTTTGTCAGTGAAATATTTGGGGGCTAATTGATTCAGTGTTTTCAAAATGAATTCTGTGTAATTGGTGTGAAAGCCACCACCACAACAAAATTAGGAAGAATCCCAGGCGTTGATGGAAAACATTCTTTCTTATTTCCAGAGAAGCTTCCTGGGCTGTGCCAGTTTTAAAGTTGGGGAGCTGCTGAAGTCCAAGGAGCAACTGTTGTCCCTGAGCCTGAGGTGAGTCTCTTTGCTTTCAGATTTGTTAGAGAAAACACCCAGGTTCAGCCGCTGCACCTAGAGAGTCACAGTTCTCACAGACAGTGGTCTGGAGATCCAGGAAAGGACAGCAGCTCTAGTTCCTGTTCAGAATTACTGCCAGCTGCAGAATTAGTCTGTGTGGGAAAAGAATTATGGAGGCAGTACAGCAATAACATTCTTTGAAAGAAAGCAAATGCAAACTATGATCATGCTATTAAATAACTTTCTCTAATAAAAATGTCACTGTATTCATGAGTAAGTTTTATGATTGACATATGTCTGGTGTAATGTAGCTTCTGATAGGAAAAGTGAGCTGACTTTTTCAAAGTCCTCCCTGCAACGCTAAGCCTAAAGTGCTGATAAATTCAAGCAGATGAGTTGATCCTAGCTAATTCTCAGCATCATTTATTTTGATATCAAAGATTAACAGTCTTAATAAGATTGTAGAGTATATTTATACTAGGAAGAATACAGAATGAATACTTCTTTTTAAAACTTATGATAAACACACACACACACACACACACACACCTATAAATTTCTTTCTTTTCCCAAAGAACTCCTTGGAGCCAACAATTCATTTCATTGAATTTCAGTACTTTTCATTCAATGAATTTCCTTAAGTATTCTGTGTCTCTTGATGGAATTTGTATTCATGTGTTTACTTTAGTTCCCTGATCCTGGCGGGTCTGCTTTTGATTATGAAATATAATATTATATAATTATACTAATACATATACTTCAGGTAGCAAAGCCCAACTTCTGATAAGGCTTGCTGTAGTTTCTTCAGCTTCTATCAGAGAAAAACAATGCTTGGCTTGCCCACAACTTTCTGGTGCAATTGAGGAAAATTTTATTCCTCATCTTATAGACTCTTTTTTTCCCATCTTCAACATGCTGTACACTAGTACACATTATATTCATTTGAGGGGATGAAACAGAAACCAGAGCTTGTATTTTGAAGACAGCCTCTACCCATCTAGCCTTGGCTGACCTTGGAAGTTGCTCTGCAGAGCAGGCTAGCCCTCAGACTTTCCTGCATCCTCCTGCTTTCCCTCTTAGGGGATGGGATTAAGAAGTCTTCAGTGTGAGAAAAGCTAGTGAACATACAGACTGCCTTAGCGAGTATGTAAGGAGGGTTGAGTTTAAAATACTAAGGAGAAAAAACTCAATGCAAAATATTTAGGATTACATGAAAAAGGAATCTGTTTCCATTTTGATCTAAATATCCAATTCCTAGGTATTTAATTGTGATTGTATGAAAAATATTAAATGTAATAAAAAGAATTATTTTCTAGAAAAATATTAATTTTCATACTAATTTTGAATGGCTAGTTTTTTCACCTTGTTTTTGTCATATTCATGGAATTTCTTTACTATGAATCAGGTAGATTATACCTAACTTTAACCTGTGTATCTTTAGCTCACGACATGTAATTGTTCCATTTAGTTTTTTTGATGGACTGTCTCTGAGATTCTGAGTTGGAAGAACATTAGGTCAGGGTTAAGGAACACTCTCTGTTATTGTTTTGCTTTGCTTTTTATATTCATTCGCATTGACTAATTATGACTTTCCTTCTTTCGAACTCCAGCTATTGTCTTTAAACAATAGAATGAAATACTTCTACAGAAATAAAGACACATTTCTAGGTATCCTTCCAGGTTGGGGATGTTTTATGGTCCTGTTTGTTTCACTTCCTCAAACCTGAAGGTTCCGTCTGTGTTTTCTAGCTCTTTGGGAACTAATGGGTAATTTAAATTCTCCAACTCCATCTAACTCACTACAGGAGGAGGCTATGTTCCGAGTGGCTTCTCTCACATGTTCTTAGAGCTGGACGTCAAGTACACTGGGTTGTTTTTCTTACTGAAAACTTAAAGAAATATACATATAATTTATAAATTTAGTCTAAAATGTCATTCGTGTATCTTTTAAGTTGTAAAGTAATAATATTGTTGACATATATTTGGGAAAAACCCTCTGATACATAATCTGGTTCCTATGTATATGTCTTTTTAATTTACATAGTACAGGGTCACCTATTTGGAGTATTCCAGACTTCCAAATAGACTTGGTGTCTTTATGTAATATTGACGCCTATACTATTTTGCTAAATTGATTTAGTTTTGCTAGTTTATATGAGTTCCATCTCCCTTGCTTCTTTAATATGTTAATTCTGTTTTCCAGTGGTGTTTTCCAGTTTGCTGCTGTGCAGTCCTGATTTCTGTACTTTCATATGATTGATGTAGAATTGTTTTATAGCAGATCATAATTTTAATTGTGGCAGATATTAAATAATTCTCTTTTAGCAAACAAAGCTATAAGAGAGCACACCAGCAACAGCACATTGGAGAGTGCTGAGCATGTATTGGAGGTGGCTCACTTGATCCTTATCAAATTAACCTCTGATGTTCTTTAATCCATTCCATTAATCAAATAGACATGGAAAACAATTTATTTAGCATTTTTGTAAAGTTACAATGTTCTTAAATAAGAGAAAGTTGATGTGCGTTCAGGGCCTTCTGATTGATAAGTTATTGATTTCAAAAATAGACTCTTGTCAACAAGAGACAACTGAAACCCAGCATTAAATGTCACCTGCCATATACTTGGTGGGTGAGTGATAGCAAGGGCTTGGGTACAGGACTGTTTCTTCAGTGATTTACACCTGTCAGATTTCCTCACAGTGCCCAGATTTACACTTGGTAGTAAGTAGATGGATATTAGCATGCTCTGGGCAACTGAGATGTGTTAGCCTAGTAGCAGAAAACGGGATCCAACTGTTAATTCAAAAGACTGAGGGAAATACACATTTGTTACAAGAAGCCTGCCTCAGAAACATGGACCCCTGGAGCAACTGGGCACAGTTTGCTATCCAAGTACTTGACAGTCATGTGCTTTTCCAAACCTTGGAGGCCATTCAATCAGAGCTTAGGAATACAATAGTGTTTTCTATTGTTAAATTACAGAATGGAAAATTATCAAAGATCTATTACTAAGTGGGGCTAGCAGTCAAGAGAACACCCCATTGTTTTTGACATGCTTAAGCAGCCACAGTGAAACCAACAACCACATGAAGCAATCAAAGAGGGAGGGAGAAAGAAGGAAGAGTCTCAAACTCCAGTGGACTTTGTTCAGTCTCCTATGTACTTCTATTCATTGTGTATTTAGTCAGCAAACACTAGGATTTTTTTTGCATACTAATAACAATGACAGGTTCTTCAGAATATAACAGCACTAACCACTTTGCCTTGATAAGATTGATAACGTGTGTAACGAATAATCTTTGGAGCATATATACTCCATGCAAGTACTGTGCTCGATCCGAATAATGCACCGCGTATTTAATTCATGCAACACCATTTCCGTTTTCCATCTGCTTGACTGAAATCCCATGGCTGCTGGTTACAGAAGAAGAGGAAAATTCAGTTAATTCTTCAGTTTATTCTGTTTTTATTTTACTGCCTTGTAGCAAGGTCATAGCTTTAGTAGAATCCTTACTTTTTTCTCTGCCTTTGAGCAGTTTAGGGGGTCTCAATTTCTTTCTTTTTTTTTTTTTCGGTTTTTCGAGACAGGGTTTCTCTGTGTAGCCCTGGCTGTCCTGGAACTCACTCTGTAGACCAGGCTACCCTCAAACTCTCAAACTCAGAAATCTGCCTGCCTCTGCCTCCCAAGTGCTGGGATTAAAGGCGTGCGCCACCACTGCCCAGCAAGGGTCTTAATTTCTTGATGTTATATCTTAAAATTCAATTTTGTATGTCTGAAGCAAAGCTGGGCTTCTGCAAATGGATATTGTTTCTAAATTTATTTGTGATATTGGCTTTCTTTAAAACGTTTTAAATTGCTTTATGTAAGACAATTAGCAAGGACTGGTTCCTAGGTAGATCTGTGTTAACTCAACAAATATGATAATCTAAGCATAAGATTGTTTTGTGTTCTGTTGTTGGCAAGTGAAACACCCCTCGTAGGTTCCTGTGTTGAACTTTTGCTCCTCAGTCCCTGCAGCTGTTTTTCGACTGCTGTGTAAGCTTTCTGAGGTGGAGCCCTGCTGGAAGGATATGGGTCACTAGGGGAGGAACTTAAACATTTTCATAGCCAGACTCATTTCCTATTCACTCTCTGCTTCCTAACGCTGATGCTGGATAAACAACCCTCTCCTGTTCCTGCTGCCATGCCTTCTCTGCTGTGATGGACAGAGCCCTTCAAACGTAAGCCAAAATAAACCTCTCCTCCCTCACCTAGCTTCTCATCCAGTATCTGTCCAAGGAGCGAGAGAAGTAACTTCCAGAGCAGTAGTGAGGCATGGATTGCAATCTCCTTGAGAAAGCAAAAGCCTGGGTTAATATTTACATTTATTTCACTGTAGACTATAGTACCTCCCTCATCCTTGATCTTATCATAGAAATGTTCACCTCGTCCTCACATCCCACTACAGATGTGAGGACACATCACATCTGTCTGCCTTTCACATGGTTTGAGGGAATCCGAATTCCAGCCCTCACACTTACATTGTAAGAGTTTTCTCCACTGAGCCATCTCCCTGGGTTCTACCACCTGCTGGTCCAACAAAATTAAATGTTATATATGCATAAAATATTTTCTATCTTAAACAATGTTAATATAAATTAACTGTTATCCAACAGTTTGGGGGAAGAATAGAACATCTCTGATAAAGGAGAATAATGCTGAATATTGTGGAATATATCTACAGAGATACAGATGACAGGGGTGGTATGTACTCCATTGTCACTTTGGCAACAAAAGTAACACATTACTAACACATTAGTATTACCTGAGAACAGCACATCAGGATGCTGCTCAGGGAAATGAGCATGCAGAGGGGGGTGAGTCAGCAGCAAACCCACAACAAGGTGAATCAGAGGCTGGGTTTGGAAGAGGGCTGTCTCAGAAAGCACTGCGTCCACAGAGCCGCCCCATCCCCAGCTTACTTCTGACCTGCTAACAGAGTGACACCTACACA